AATTATATTATTTAATTATTATAAATGGGACCCTTTATCTCACACCATATATAAAAAGAAATTCAAAATGGACTAAAGACTTAAACATATGATGTAACACTATAAAACTACTAGAAGAAAAGATTAGGGAACAGCTTCTTGACATTTGTCATGGCAATAATTTTTTGGAGAGGACCCCAAAAGTATAGGCAACAAAAGCAAAAATAGAAAAATAAAAATAGACAAATACACTTGCATCAAACTAAAAAGTGTATGCATAGCAATTGAAAGAATCAATAAAATTAAAAGACAATCTATGGAATAGGAAAAATATTTGCAAACCATATATTCAATAGGAGGCAAATATTCAAAACATAAAAGAAATTAATTCAATTCAATACCAAAATTACAAATAACCCAATTAAAAATGAGTGAAGAACCTAAATAAATACTTCTCAAAAAAAGAAATAAAGATGCCCAACAGGCATATGAAAAGTTGCTCAACATCTCTAATCATCCAGGGAAATGCAAATCAAAACTATAATAAGATATAACCTCACACCTCTTAGGATGGCTATTACCAAAAGACAGAAGTGTTGGTGAGGATGTGGAGAAAAGGAAACCCTTGTACACTGTTGGTAGAGATGTAAATTCATACAGCCATTTTGGAAAACAGTATGAAAGTTCCTCAAAAAGCTAACAACGGAACTACCATATGATCCAACAATTTTACTTTTGGGTTTGTAATTCAAAGGAAATAAAATCAATGTGTCTAAGAGATATCTGCATCCCCATGTTCATGGCAGCATTACTCACAATATCATGATAAGAAATCAGCCTAAGTTTCCATGGATGGATGAATGGATAGATAAAGAAAATATGATATACTGTATTGCAAACTTGAAAATTGATAAGAGAGTAGATCTTAAATGTTCTCACCACAAAAAAAAACGATAACTATGTGAGGTGATTAATACACTAATTAGCTTGATTGTGGTGATCATTTCACAATTTACACATATTTCAAAACATTTTATATACCATAAATATTTGTCAGTTATACCTCCATAAAGCTGGGAGGAAGGGGAGGGAATCTCCTACTAAATCTCTACGTTTTCTCTTTTTCAGGCTAAGTTGTTTTATATACTGTCTAATAAAAAAATGTCTGTTTTAGAAAGTAAAAACCTCAAAGTAAAAGTCAAAGAGTTTATATTTAAATATTTTCTTTACAAGGAATGCAACATTTGCAGAAGAGATAATTTGCTGCAAAGAGCTATATTTTTATGATTAGATGAAAGACTTTGACCTTTATTTTTTGCTAGAAATGTTGAAAGAGGAAAGAAAGTTGTCAGAATTCTCATTAACTACATTTGATGCATCCAGAAGAAAGTCAAAAGACTTGTTAACACACACAAACACACACATACACATGTGAAGTTTCAGCTCTTTTACCCCAGCCTATCCAAACGTTCTACATGGCTTATGACCATAAATTGTTTTTTTTAAAAAAAAAAATACAATACAGCTTTTTGGTATCTTTTCCCCAAGCCAAGTCATACATAAAACAGACTGTATGAAAGAAATATAAAATCAAGAGAAATACTGTGAAACTCTACGTGTTTTAAGATCAGAATTTTTTTCTACTATGCAATCTACCTATTCCCATTTTTATCCCTTAATAATCATTGAAATAGATTGTCTTGATATTCCAGAATTCAAGAAGTTGAGCCCAAATGTTTTTGCCACAATGAAACAAGTGGTAGTCTAACCTATTTGACAGGAAGAGCTTAGCTGTAGGGCAAATGTTTGTGAATAATGAACCTTGGGTTAATCTCAACTCTTAGCTGTTGCCTTAGAAAAACCCTGAACTGTTCTGCATTCGAATTTACTCTCCCAATTTATCTAGCATGGAAAATGGGTGTATAAACTACAGTTCAGGTCCTCTAGTGAAGAAAGTTGCTTAACGCAACCTTTTAAATAATTGTGTGAGAGAGCCAGGGGTGTAGTGCAAATGTTTAACAATTGGCTCTCTAGGTGGTGAAGGTGGGGGGAGTAGAGGAGAAGTTCTGATTTGCAGCATTTACCCATTTCTGTTGTATAAATACTCCCACTCTAACCAATATCAAGCTTCCAACCTAAAGTCACTGACCATGGAGTTAAAGGTGCGGTGGCACTCATTACACAGTATTTTCACTATACACAAGCAATAGATATAAATAACCTCGACAGCATAGATAATAGTAAAACATTGTAAAGTAATGAGAAAGTGATACATTTAAAGATTGTTTTACAAGTCCGGCATGGTGGCTCATGCCTGTAATCCCAGCACTTTGGGAGGCTGAGGTGGAAGGATTGCTTGAGCCCAGGAGTTCAAGACCAACCTGGTCAATATGACAAGACCTCATCTCTACAAATTAAAAAAAAAAAAAAAAACAAATTATCCGGGCATGGTGGCATGCACCTGTGGTCCCAGCTACTCACAAAGCTAAGGCAGAAGGATCGCTTGAGCCCAGGAGGTTGAGGCTACAGTGAGCCATGATCACTGTACTTATCACTCTGAAATTATTATGTTGTTTTACTTGTGTCTTTGTTTATTACCTCTTTATCTCCCTATACCTTCCCTGGCCTCCAATATACTCTAGCCTGCGCAACAGAGCAAGACCCTTCCCCCAACCCCCCAAAAGAGTGCTTTACCCTTTTTGCAACATAATTTATGCACTTACATGTTTATATAATTGAATTAATAATAATTGTGTTTAAAAACTAACCAGCCTACAAAATGTATTTAATTATCAGCTCTCAGGAGATTGTATGAGCCAACTTCAGCACACCATGGGATATAACAAATATTAATAAGATATGAGGTCTCTGTTCTCACATAAGCATTCCTACTGCAAAGAGTAGCACCAGACAAGATACATATCGTCAGCATACCACAAAGAAAGCATACGCGGCCTCAACCCTAGAGTTCCTGCTATAGCAAGGCTTTGCTGATGGCAAAGTTCTCAATCATATTTGCAATGTGAATAATAGCAGTAATAGTCAACTTCTTTTTTGCTTGCTCTCTTTAAAACAGATGGTTCATTCAACTTTATTTTAGGAATTCTATTTTCACCAAAATGCAGCTGGAACCACATACTAATGATACTAGTACATTTGGCTCATATCTCTTTATTCTAATAGAATTATTCTACTAATGTGAAATTGCATAATATGTTCTCTCACCCCTAGTCTGCATGTCAACATGAACCAGCAACCTTTATTTCTTAGTAGTTTAAATCTGTCATTTCACTCTGTCCATCAAGAAACCCAGCTGCTCTCACACTTCCTTCTAGAAAGGCAGAAATATGCTAGGATACAATGGGAGAAGTCATTTTTGCAGGAAATGTTGGGAAGAAAAACTAGCTGGTTTTCCACTGGCTAACACTAGCTACTGTAACAAACAAACCTCCCTAATATAGTGACTTAAGTTGTAGAAGCTAATTTTTCATTGAGGTAAAATCCAATCAGTGGTGGAGGATGAGGGATGGTGCTCTCCTCATGCAGGGTCTGGGGTCTGACAGAGGCTCAGCCATCTTTAATGCATGGCTCCCAGGGTCACCTTGTGTTTTGTGTTTTTTTAATAGCCTGTACACTTCCCTTGTGCATCACTTTTGTGTACATGTCCTTGGCTGCAACTCAATTTCACGGCCTCCCCTTGACTGCAAGGAAAACTAAGAAATGCAATGTATGCACACCCACAAAAAATAAAAGCTAAACCAATTTGGTAGACAACTACTCAATTTCTGCAACTGAGGCACAGTTCCCAGGACAATATAAGATCTATTCAATCCTATTAAAGACAGGGCAATTATTATATATGCTTGTTAGCATTTTACGATGTTAATATATAATAGTCATAATGTTATTTTTACTTTTAAATTTTTAAAGGATGCTTTTAGCCTACCAGATGCTAAAAGCAGCCATATAATGCTTTTAGATGTTTTAATGATGCTAATGAAACAAGCACAAAATCATATACAATCTATAAGTATCATCTGTTCACTCAAAATATAATCATTCATTCAGCCAATATTTATTGAGCACCTGTATGGGATGGGAATGCCAGGCATTTGCTATATAATAACAAATGAAGCCCTTGTTCAGATAGTGTTTATATTTTTATTGGAGGCCAGGGAAGGGATAGGGTGATAAAGATGTAATAAACAAAGACACAAGTAAAACAACATAATAATTTCAGAGTGATAAGTACATAAAGAAAGATTTCAAAGTAAAAAAAAAATAGGACATTGGAATCACAGGACAGGATGGTCTAAAAGTCAAAGGGTCATGGAAGACACGAGTCGTGAATACAAGGATTTTTGTCTTTTCATTCACAGCTCTGTCTCTATCACTTAGAAAGGCTTCTGGCATATATTAGGGATTAACAAGTAACTGTTGAATGAGAAGAGCAAAAGCTAAGGTCCTAAATAGGAAGTCATCTTGGAGTGTTGAAGAAAGAGACAGAAGGTCAGGGTGGCCACCATGCAACAAGTTAGGTACAATGCGAGGTATCAAGCTCTGAGAGGAAGTCAGGGACCCTATCACATCGGATCTTGTAGGTCATGGTAAGAAGTTTAGGGCATGTAATAGGTCTGAACTTTTCTTTAAGTTTGATCGTAAGCAATTAGATGGTTATAAAGAGGGATGCTTTGATCATATCCCTGTTTTAAAAGGTCTCTTTAGCTGTGACCTGAAGAGTGTACTATGGGAGTGGAGAACAAAAGTGGAAGCAAAGGAGGAGATGACGTTGACTGGAAAGAAGGTAGGGACGCTGAAAGGGAGATAATTCATTGTTTAGGGACTTATTTTGGTAGTAGAGTTCACAGGGCTTGACGGTATGAGGGAGAGAAAGGAATTAAAGATGATTCCTGGCTGGGTGGATGGTGGTACCAACATGTAGGCAACACCTAGTATGATAAGGAAAGATGGGAAAGATCTGGTTTGTTTGCACAGCATCTAAGAAAGGAAATGAACATCAAAATACCATAGCCAAACATCCATATTTATTAATAATTCCCTTTTTCTCCTCCCCCACAATTTACCTTAGAAATTCTTTAAGCCTTTGTCCTGAGTCCCATCAACACTGCTTTCTTGGTTTTTGTCTGTTTGTTCATTGTCAGTGTTCCCAGGAGTCTAGTACTCCCTTGAAATGATTCCAAATATGTCTCTCACCTTATTTCTATCCTGAGCTTCACCCCAAATTCTCAATCTCTTGCTGGCCACTCCCCACTGGCTATCTGACCCAGTCCATAGCAAAGCCTGCATCTTCTCTTTCAACTCTGCTCCTCCTCCTGAATTAGTTATCTCAGTCGTTCAGAGAAGAAGGCTCAGAATACTCTAGTCTCTCTCTTCATTCTTCATCACCCGCATCCAGAGAGTTATAAAATATGGTATTTTAGCTTTGCCAGAATCTCCCCATGGGTTTTTTCATGCCCATGGATGCAGACTTGCTAAAGCCCTTGTACTGCCACTCCTGGGTGCAGCAGGGCCCCCGGAGGGGCCTGGTGCTTTGCAGTCTTGAACCTCTCCACTTCAGGCTCCATGCTGCTGCATCTCATAGCTGTGGACCCGAGTTCTGATCATGGCTCTCCTTAAAAGCGTTCATCAGCTCCTGGCCCCCTTCAGAATAAGCCCAAATGCCACAGCAGACTTCAGATCTTCTGGAATCCAGGCTCTGCCTGCCTTTTTGCCACACCTCCCCTCGCCAGTATGTTCATCCATGGACCCACATGAGGCTCTGTGCTGGTCCCCAAAGAAGCCACCACAAACTCACCCACCACTGTGCTAGAGTGCTGTTATTTCCTCCAGGTGGAATGCCCCGCTGCCCTGCAGTCCCTGGCAGAGTTCTATTCATTCTGCAATGTCCAGCATCACTGTCATGTCCTGTCCTCCAGGAAGCACTCCCAAATCCTCTAATTACTATAGAAGTAACCATGCCTTCCTCCACAATCCCACTTCTCTATTTTCTAACACTTGCTTGTATTGAAGCTCTTCATTTTAAGGTTAACAAAGATAGCCCTATAAACCCACACTCCCTGAAACACTGTTCTACACATATTAGGTACTGAAAATGTTGTTAAAAACAATAAGCATCCTATAATGTGGGGAATTGTAGACTAAACTGATGAATGGGATTAAGATACATATGGTGAATAAATGTATTAAACAAGTAATTAATAAAGTAATTACCATGGTGAATGATTCCATTTTCTAATAATGCTTGTCCCAAGTGCACACCTTCCTCAGGCCTGTGAATCTCTCCAATTTCCAACAGCCATGACACAAATTCGCTGCAACAGAAAGCCAGTGAAAAAGCTAAATGGTTAATTTTTTCCTCAGCAAGTCTTTCCATACCATCCAGTCATGAAGCAATGATGAAAGGAATCTCAAAATATAAAGGAATATTTGCAACACATTTCAACAGATTATTTTTTCACATATGTGAGGCCTACAGCCATTTAAGTTGAACTCTATTCTAGAAAACCTATGTCTGTACATTCAGACATCACTAAACTATACTTAGTTTTAAACTGTTCAACTTGTTGAGGCCTCTAATAAAGACAAAGTGGAAATTTTAGAGTAGCTTTAATTAAAAGGTTAGCATTAACATAAAGGCAAATGTGGGACTAAAGGATTGCAACAGATCCTAAAGACAGCTAAAGTCAGAACTGAATAGAGTAGTAACAACTTAATATAAAGAGGTAAGCTGTCTTTAATGTGGTTCCCAGGCACAGAGAACCAGTGAGTTTAAAGATCCAGGAAGGAAGAACAAAACAAAACCGCATGTACCGTGTGATAGGTAGGATTCTTCAGAAATCCTCTCACTGTCCTCCTACCATACCAAGATTCCCTCCCCTTGGTTTTTCAATTAAATTCTAATCTAGGTACTGCTCTGAAGGGACTTTTGCATATGTAATTAAAACCCCAAGTCAGTAGACTTTAAAATATGTAAGTTATCCCAGTGGGCCTGATTCAGGGAGTGGAACCCTTTGAAGCAGAGTTTTCTGAGGCTAGTGGCATGAGAGGAAGGCAGAGAAATTAAAAGCATTAGAAAGATTCAATGTGCCACTGCCAGCTCTGAAGATGGAGAGGACCTGGTACCAAGATACGCAGCCTGCAGAAGCTGAGAGCAACCCTTGGCTGACAGCAAGGAAACAAGGACTTTATTCTTGCAGCCTCAAGGAGCTGAATCCTGACAACCACCTGAGTAGGCTTGGAAGGGAACTTTTCCCCAGAGCCTCAAGATAAGAGCCCCGTCTGGCCAGCACCTTGATTTTGGGGTCATGAAACCCTAAGCAGAGAACCCACTTGAGCGCTCTTGGACTTCTGACTGGTGTTGTTTTAAGCTGCTAAGTATATGTTCATTTGTTACACAGCAATAGAAAACTAATGTACACCAAAAGACATATAAAAGTTTTACTACATTGTTTTGAAAATGTGAAATTACTTGGTAAATTCATTATTGTATCTCATCTGTCATCCATAAGGAATCCTCCAGCACAGAACCATCCATCAGAACTGTCCACCACACACTGCTGCGGCTGTGAAGGCCACAGTGGATTATAGGTTACATCTGTCACCACTGCAGGGCAGCCCCAGGCATCACAGATAATAAGGATGATGTTTTGTATCACTTAGGAGAGCCTCAGCTATATAGCGATTAAAAAAAAAAAAAGGGTCCCATGGTATCATTAAGGGAACACTAAATACAGAGACATTTTACAAATACAAAATATTATGTTGCTCATGTTTTAAAAGTCTAACATTTGAACTTTTATATAAATGATTGAATTTGTTGTAGACTGGCTTTGTTTTTTTGGTTAGAGAAACAAAGCTATAGACTGCATCAGGAAATTATTTCTTCATTAATTTCATAAACAAAAGCAAGAAAAATGACTAACATCAAATAATTGAGGGATATAAAATTCTAAAAATGGGTTGTCTAGACTACAAAAATAAGGCAGAAAGTTAAAAAATTTTTATTCTTTTATTAAATAAGAACCATTCAAAACCATTGCTTTTCTATTGCTGCCTAACAAATTCAAAAGAAAAATATAAGAAAAGGTGAAACAAAGTGTAGCAGTTAATATCATGTACTTTGCCATAAGACTATGGGGACTCAAATCCTGTTTCTGTTTCCACTACCTGCATGACCATGAGTTCATGAATTTAGCTCTTTAAACCTCAGCTTCTTCATTATTAACATAGAGATAATATTAAGAATGTCGTGCCAGGTACAGTGGCTCATGCCTGCAGTCCCAGCATTTTGGGAGGCCGAGGCAGGTGGATCATTTGAGGTCAGGAGTTTGAGACTAGTCTGGCCAATATGGTGAAATCCTGTCTATACTAAAAATTTAAAAAAATTAGCCAGGTGTGGTGGCATGCACCTGTAATCCCAGCTACTCGGGAGGCTGAGGCTGGAGAATCACTTGAACCCGGGAGGCAGAGTTTGCAGTGAGCCAAGATCATGCCACTGCACTCCAGCCTGGGTGACAGAGTGAGACTCCGCCTCAAAAAAAAAAAAAAAAAAAAAAAAAAGTCAATGTCATAGTGCAGCCAAAGGATTAAATGATATGACAGATGTCAGGAACTCAGCACGGGGCCTGGCACATAGTGAGCTTTACTAACTCAGTGGTTGACAAGTGGGTTGAGATGGTTGTTATGTAGCTAAGGCATAATTCTCTAGTCTGATGGCACCAGATTCCTGAAAATGTCCAATTACAATGAGGGAAAGAGCCGCTTTAAATATTGCTATAAACTGGAAACATTTTTAAGAGTGAGAGGTCAAGAGTAAAGGAACCCAATGAGTGGCTTTATCATTGGACCTACTGAGGGAATGGGGAAATTCCATCAACACTCTGCTAAAGGACAATGATCCACGCAGAAATGATCTCAAACTTGCACTGTAAGCAGCAGTAGTGTGCGGTTATGGAAAAGGCCACAATAACCTAACATTTACTGAGTCTCTCCTACCTATCAGGTGCTCTGGGAGAAGCTTCATATAGCATCACAATGAACTTGCACTATTCCCATAGGACACAGCGTGAGTGAAGGGTTAGCAAACTCTATTCTTCTTCAATAAGAACAAATTTGGCCCTGGGCTAACTTTCTATCATAGCTATGCTCCCTTAGACACCTGATGAAGGTAGTGTGTCAACTGCTAAACTAGGCAGCATTGCAATGGTAAAAATGACCCCTGGTGGCTAATTTGCATACCTATAAAAACCTAGTGGGAAGCCATAACTTGAAGTCACTCTCTTGCAAGTGGGCATATCCCAGTGAGGACCCTGAAAGTTATGCCCATGGGGTGGGTACAAGAGATAGTGTTGCTTTGCTGCACAGGGCTTCTATGCCAAGATAAACTCACATCTTCTCTTTCCCTTGCACGAGAGCTACTACCACCTAAGGGGTACCTACAAGCAACAGTATAGCTCACTGGCAGATGTGTAGCCTGCTGGGAGGATTACTCCCAGTGAAGAAGAAAGCCAGACGCTGCTCTGCAGGCAGAGGTTTTCCTGGCCTATAGATTTCTGAGTTGGGGGTTGGGAAGTGTATTAGCTCTTTTTCACACTGCTGTAAAGAATTTCCCTGAGACTGGGTGTATTAGTCCATTCTCACACTACTATGAATAAATACCCAAGATTGGGTAATTTATAAAGAAAAGAAATTTAATTGATTCACAGTTCTGCATGGCTGGGAAAGCTTCAGGACACTTACAATCATGGCAGAAGGGGATGCAGGCACACCTTACATGGCAGCAGGTGAGAGAAGGCAACTGAAGGAGGAAGAACCCCTTATAAAACCATCAGATCTCATGAGAACTCGCTCACTATCATGAGAACAGCATGGGGGAAACCACCCCCATGATCCCATCACTTCCCACTAGATGCCTCCCCTGGCATTTGGGGATTACAACTTGGATTATAACTCAAGATGAGATCTGGGTGGGGACACAGCCAAACCATATGAGGGAGGCAGAGGTAGCCTATGATTATGTTGTGTGTTCCCATCGCTGGTTAAAAAGACATCCTACTGAGCATTGTAGGTGAACTCTACCATCATCTCCACATTTTCAGCGCAAATGGAAACTTAACCATCCCAAATCACACAACAAATTGGTGGTACTGCTAGGAGCTGAATAGATAAGTTTGATGACAGTCTAGACTGTAAACTACCACTCCAGCTTACTTTATAAACTTGGGCATTGGTATTCACTAACAATATGCAATTGTTAAGCTCCCTGATCCATAGTTTCTGTATCTTCAAAAAAGTATAAAGGTATTTAACTCCTACCTAAGTATGTATTCCAGCATTAGAAATAATATATAGGAAGAAGTCAGCACAGAGGCTGGCCTAAAAAGAGCTACTTGAAGGCAGCTAACCTTCTTTCTGGCCCTGCACTTATTAACCCAGTCAAGGAATCCCACTTTATGCTGTCCAAAGGAACCAAACAACACTCAGTCACTCTGCTCTACTCTAAAAACTAAAGTGACCTCTCTGCCTATTGCTCACTGCCTGTCTCTTTACACGACCCACATTTTCAGACTCTTCACCTACACCCTTTATCCTGAGTCCAGCTGCCTAAATTCTAAATTAACTGGTAGTTCAGACTGTCTCTTATCTTCTCTGTCTTTCTGACTTTCAGGCCCTATACACATGTCTGTGCCCAACCAGTCATCCTATCCCCTGCAGGCAAACCCACCTGCCTATCACTCCTTGCCTGGACCCAACCTCCCTTTCCCCTGGGATCATGACATATCAGAAATCTGAGAAGTCATGAATGAATGGACGGATGCCTTAAGTTTCCTGGTCATGATTCTGGCTCTCTGTCCATTCCTTCATCCTGTTACAGCCCAGGAAATGGCAACTGTAAAGAAGTTTTCAGAAATGCCAAAGGGAATATTTTTAAAGGAAAACTAATTGAAGGAAAGTTAACAGGTGAGATAATGAGAATGTAAAAGAAAGTCATGCACCCAAGCTCCCAACCCTACCTTCCAAGAAAGCATTTAGGGAACGTAGTCAGTTTTCTTTTTCTGTCTTTGATCAGATTTCCTTGTCTGCACATCATTTTATAAAGTTTCTCACCCTGTTCAGAGATCATTACCCAGGTATCTTGCTCCATTCCTAATTTTAAACCTATCAAAAATGAGAAAAAGGAGAGGTAACTGAAAATTCTCTTCATTCATTCATTCAGTTGTGCCTTCATTAAGCAAGCATTTGTTGTAGGTCTACCATGTGCTGGGGGTTGTGGATACAGACCCCTGTATAATAGTGCCCTGGTGTTCAAGAAGCTCAGGGGCTAGGGAGACCTGCAAGGCAGGGCTTCCAGGATATATGTCACCTTCATGCAAATTGTGCCCCAAAGGCATAAAGCTTTAGCCAGAGGAATAAGAAGAGCAGCTGAGTCTCAGCCTCCATTGAGTCCTGGACCAGGCACCCTTGCTCAGGTTTAGATCAGCAGAACTGGACAGAGTAGTCATAGAGACAGTTCTGGTGGGGGAAAAAAAAAAAAAAAATGTGATATAATGGAGGCATACTCAGGCTACCTCACCTCTCCCTGAGAAATGTTAAGAAAGGTTTCACAGAAGGGACCTGTCTTGAATGCACAGGTATGAATGGGGGTTTCTAGAGAAAGCAGAGCTAACTCATTTGAAGCAACATGGAGGTCCAGAGCTATGGGTTGTAAGAGAAAAGACAGGAGATGGGCTGGTAGGATAGCCAAGATCCTTGCTCAACTTGCAGTTTCAATTTGTTTCATTCCTTAGGTATTGGGCATGCAGCTAAGTGTTTTAACCAGTGGGAGGAGCAAGGTAGGGTAGTGCGGGAAAGAAAGTTGTATTGCTTTGGAAACAAAGCTCAGAGGACAGTATGGGGAACAAACTGAAGAGGGAAATATTTAAAAAGAGGGACACTGTTAGGAGAAACCTCAAAAGTTCAAGGAAGTTCAACTCACTGCGAATAAGGGTAGGGCCATAGGGCAAAGAGGATGAAGTTGAGAAATAGTTAGGAGGCGCTATTGATAAGATATTGGTTAAATGTGGGCATGGAATAAAGAGAAGAAATCAGATGCCTTCCGGGCTTCTGACGAGAGTCACTGAATGGATGCAGGGAGGCATATTGGGCAAAGGCATCCAAGTAACCAGGAGTTCGGTGGGTACCGAGTATGCGTAGTGTAGACATTCAGGTGGGAGTCCAGGACTCAGGTGAAAACATGAGCATGCCCAGGGGAGGACTGGGTATGCGTAGTGTGGACATTCAGGTGGGAGTCCAGGACTCAGGTGAAAACATGAGCATGCCCAGGGGAGAGGGCAAGGCTGGACATAAAGTTTAACAAATCGGCAGTGTATAAGTGGAAGTTAATCTGATGGGAACAGATAACCAAGACGAGGAATCTAGTTAGAGAAAAACAGTGCCAAGCTAAAATCCTAGGAACACTGGCGCTTAATCAGGACTGATGAGGAGCTGTTGCAGAAGAAGGAGAAATACTTGTATTATTTTTAGTTGTCTAGCTGCAGAATTTCCTACCAGACCTTTATTTTTGACAATGCTGGAGCCATTAACATCTGTCTTTATTCAAAAATAATACCTTAAGAATGGAGTCTAATAAAGATAAATATAAAGATAAAGATCATAAGCAGTTTTAGAGAATGTGCTTTTTCTCTTGTTTGGGGGTTTTTATTTTTTATTTTTATTTATTTATTTTTCTGTCTTGGGTGAATCATAGTCACGCTTAAAAAAACAAAAAAGGTTCAACTTGATTGAAAGCTTGATTCACCTTTTAACTATTTGTTTGCTATTTGAATTCACTGCTACGTTCAACAAAACTTAGAGTCAGTCACATATTCATAAACTTTGTTTTAAAATTTTCTATCTGGTTCTTCATCCAGGATCAACCAAAGGAGTATTTGAAAACGCTTTGGAAATTCTACAAGTATGTACCATGAATATTTCAATCAAGGTAGCAACCTTGCATATTCTTCAGGGGAAAACATCTGAAGACGGAAGAAAGAGTTCTTTGTGTTCTGAAATTTCATTACCAATGAGGTGTTTTATTCTTGGGTCTCCAGAAGTAATCAACAATGTCATGCTTCTTAATTAAGAAATCAGTTGTTAATTAGTAGAAATACAAGCATTTCTATTTCTGAGCTGAATTATAGAAATATGCCTTTTTGCAGATAAACTTCACACTGGTGAATATAGCCAGGCCAAATTCCTTTTGCAAATTTTTCTAAAAGCATAACACAAATTCGAGATAGGCCTCCTCATATGAACAAACAACTAATTGGGTTACATTGTATTATATTCATAGACCTAACAATTTTTAAAAGTTTGTATAAATCCAGAGTGCTTTAATCTATAATTAGGAATCTAATATATTAGGTCTAAGAAATTTTAATGTTCTGTTAAGTATACAGAGAACAACTGGAAGCTTTACAACACTGCATTATGTTACTGAAGCTTGTCACTTAAAGAAAAATTTGGTAATGCTGCTTTAGAAATACCAAGAATAAAATGAAAAGAAAATTGAACAAATTTTCTATTTTAAAAAACTATTTAAAAGACACTACCAGCCATAACATAATTATTTTGCTAACTATATAAGTATTACATAACAATTTTGTAAGTATCAAATAAATCTTTTATCAAATAAGTATGAGGCTCACGTCACATAGTATTAGGTTGGTGCAGAAGAAATTGCTTTCAATGTCAAAACCGCAATAATTTTTGCACCAACCCAACAAGCAACCATCATATACCTTTCTACTTTCTCATGATTTCCCATTATCTACTCCTATGCTAAGTTAGAATCTTCGCTAACTATAATAGTGCCCAATTCATACACCCACCTTTCCGCCGTTCTCTTTCTTTCAAAATAGCTTCAAACCATTCATGCTTCTCTTCAGGTGTTTTTGCCATACAAACAAACCATTTATTTTTTGCTGTGTTATGTATCTTCCATCCATTAACAACAATGTGTCCACTGCTATGGAAATCAGCTGTAAATTAATGGGTAAAAGCAAATGAATAAAATGTAATACACAATATTATTATATCAACACTATCATTCAATACATAAAAGTTCCAAAACCACTGAATTGTTCAACATATCTTTGCTTTATATATGCATTTTGAAAAACGTACACATTTAAAAATTTTAAGAATGCGTTTATATTGCAGGCAGTCAGTTCTTAATAATGGAACATTTCTAGCTCGCAGTGTTAATACATTACATGAAACTAAACACTACAAAAATAATTAGCACTTATATGCTCTATGCTAAAAAATATTGTCAAAGTTTCTAAAGTAATAAAAGAACAACATGCAAGGTATTTTCTTCTCAAACATTCAAGATGTCTATTTATTTTATCTTTCTAATATTTTTTTGAAATAGCATTCTAGGTTTCAGAGACAATTTATGTCCCACGGAACAATTTTCTATTATTCAATGAACTGCACACTAAGGATTGGCCAATGGAACACACTAAGAGTGTAATTACCTAAAACTGCAATAAATGGAAACATACAAATGCCAAAGCATTATCACTGTACATGGTCGAGACATATACTCTTTAAACCCATTTCATTACATTTATGTCACATAAATAGAAACTTATGAAAAAATTGTTGAAGATAAATTTACATTTAATTGTCTTTTTTGATACCTCACCACAATTTTGGGTAAACTGTCATGCTGGGTTTGAAAATGTCAACAGCAAACTCTATACAGTAGTTCTCTGTCTAACAGCAGGTAGAGAATAGTGACATAACTTGCAAACGACCTTTACTGGCACGACAGTCCCTGCAAAGCAAAGATTCCAAGATGGAAAAACCTATGACAGAGGCCTGAGTCAGCACCTGTACCAATTAAAGTGACCCTTTTCATGTGTCTCTCCTGAAAGTCATTCAGCAGCAAAGGCCAGTGTTGAGGAGGTAAGCCATAACAAAGTTAAAGGTGGTTTAGAAAATGACTTTGTGGTACTTTGCTTGTTTTTTTCTTTTCTTTTCAGATGATCTATTTTATGAAGTTTTTGAGTAGAAACAAATGTGCTTGGCACTCATTCTCCCAAAATCTGGTTCCCATAGTCTTTTTCATTAGCTCCAAAATCACTACACATTATATGAGGTCAGACTAATAATACCACAAATCCATTATCAAATGATGCTGTTCAGTTGTGGAGTATTTAAAGCTTCCAGATTACTTTTGAGTCAAAATAGGATGACATTAGACATTAGTCTGTATTTTCTATAGGTGCCATAATACATGAATAATCAGTAATGACTTCTGATAATATAGAGATTTAAACTGGCAGATCCTTCCCTCCCAAAAAATTACAAGCAATTTTTAAAAAGATTTTTTGTACTATTGTTACCTTCGTGTGTTTAATTCATGTTCCGATCCTACACAAAGTAAGAGAACTTCATAATTCATGTCAGATAAGTATTCATGAGCATTAGTAGGAAAATAAGAATATTACTTCATAATTACAGTGTAATTCCTCCTTAATATCTATAAAAATAACCAGCTGAGAAATTATGATAAACTGGTGGGAAAAAATTCAGAAATTCTCAAATTCTACAAGTTTAGAACTGTCCCCCAACCCTGATCACTTGTAACCTAACAAGACCAGAATCACAAACAAGCCCAAGCTTTTTTTCAGGCTGTCTTCTCTCTATTAAGTCAGGCTATGATTAGCTAAGTGAACCTGGCACCTGCAGCTTAAAAGATCCCACATGGCCACTCAGGTTACTACACGTTTAACCATTACTCTAGATAAAGAAAACCACAGTAGCCAAATGCAGCCTACAGTCATAAACACTGGACTCACTCCAAAATGAACACAGTGTAGCCCTCCCACAGAGCACAGGGAACACAGGTTCACATGCCAAAATCATCCGGGTCATGCTCCTGACACCACACAGGTGTACCCCAGGGCCAGCCATCTCTATAACAGGGGGTTTTCCTTCCTTTCTTTCCTGGAGAGAGTCTGGTCACTGGCCTCTACACACCCTGCTGGCCCTCCCTCAGATATTTTTCATCAGGTCACTTCTTAGCTCAAAAGCCACCCATTGGGTGTCTCACCACTGAATCAAGTCAAAACTACATGTAGACTTTGCTTTAAAGATTCTTCCCAAACTAACTCAACTCTGTCTAACTCCTTCTGTTTTCCACTCTGTTCTAATGCCTTCCCACCATGCTTTTCTCGTCTGCTGCTTTCCTGGTTGTCCTGTGAATACTTATGTATTCCCCAGGCTGAGTTTCTCATCAAGCTACCCCACACTCCTCTCTGCCTCACAGATTCTTACTCCTCTTGAAAGTGGACCCATCTCCTCTATGAAGCCTGGCCTGACCAACTGAGCCAGTGCATACACATTTCTTTTGGAAAGCACATAATTCAACTCGGAATCAGATAAGTGAGCATGTGATTGATCACATGTGGCTACTGTCTCAATGTACAGAAACCAAGATCATTAGCTGACTGTAAAATCTACTAATATGGTTTGGATTTGTGTTCCTGTGCAAATCTCACGTCAAATTGTAATCCCTAAAGTTGGAGCTGAAGCCTGGTGGGAGGAGACTGGATACTGGGGAAGAATTTCCCCTTTGGTGCTGTTCTCATGATAGTGAGTGAGTTATCGTGAGATCTGGTTGTTTAAAAGTGTACAGAACCTCCCCCGCCCCTCTCTCATGCTCCGGCTAGGAAGACGTGCCAGCTTCCCCTTCACTTCTCACCATGATTTTAAGTACGCTGAGGCCTCCCCAGCCACATGAACTATACAGCCCACAGAACCATCATCCAATTAATCCTCTTTTCTTTATAAATTACACAATCTCAGGCAGTTATAGCAGTGCAAGAATGGACTAATACATCCACTGTCTCAAATAACAGCTTAATTGCTGCACTAATATTTTAAAAGAACAGCTTGTGTCAAATAATTTTACATGAAGAAATAATGTTCCTTTTTAAAGTTTATATGCTAGCTAATTTCTATCACACCAATTTTAAAAATCATAAGTAATTTTAAACATATATATGCACATACACTAACACACATATACAATTGAATATACACACCACAGGCCTCAAAATGTAGTATACATACTTCATAATAGCATCAAAATTACCAAATGTTATACAAAATAAGCAATTGCTTCTCATTTTTTTCAAAAGCTACAGAGACATATAAATAGCTTCACAATTTTAATCATAGTACATTGTCCAATATCTTCATACTTCAAAATAAAAATTAAACTTATCCATAAGGAACAGCCTCACTAAAGTCATTAAAAAGTCCAGCATTGCTTTGTACTTAGTCAGAATTTGGTTTAAAAAATTTAAGTGAAAGAATAAATAATTTATTAAATGGCAAACGCAGGAATTTCCAAGCTTCAATGGATCTAAAATGTTAATTTTATAGGAAGAATAGATTTTAAACTGCCATTCCTTAAATGTTGAATATCCAAATTCAACAGTCTTTAGTCACAGATTTCTTCCAAAAACAGAAAAATCCAAGGGACAGACCTGAACAAGTCACTAATTACTTGAAGCTATACAGTTTGCAAATTCCTTGCTCTTATTTCAGTACAGTTTCATATAATTAGATGAGATTTTTCCAAAACTGATACACTATAAATCTCAGTGGACGTGCCAGTATTCTTTCAATAAATTTGCATTTCAATGAGATGGAAAATATCCAAGTATTATAAAAAGGTTAAGAAACAGAAGAAATTGCCAGACTATGTTATCGAAAACATCAAGAAACTGATGTCTAAATAATGTATTCAATCCTTGTCCTGGAGATCAACACTGTGAATTCATAAATTTCTAAGGGAAACTTTCAAACTTGTAATTTGTTCATAAATATTTAACATTGAGAAAAAATTTTTGAATAAATTTCCAGCATCCCAGATAGCATATGATATTATTTTGGGCAAAAAAAAAAAAAAAAAAGATTCTAATTGACTTTTCCTTTTAAAAATCTAAAAAGTAGTTCATCCCTTGACTTTTCTGAATTCTCAAATATATTCTGTTAAATTAATAACATTGAAAATGTATTTTAAAAAAACTATTATATTCTTTTCAACATTTGTTAAGCCATTGTTACTTTTTAATTAAGAACATATTCAATCCAGCTTACGCAACAATACTACAGTTGTGAAAGTAACTGGTTTATCTAGTCAGTAGACTGGTATGCAACAATAAATACTATTTTTGGTGATAAGGCATGAAGATAAAGATGATGATCATTAAGATAATACAGGTATTCGATTTAAGCGAAAAAGGATACAAAATTATAAAGTTCACATTTTCAAGCATTTTTAAATCTGTGCATGAAAAGGAAAATTGCAGGAAATATTTTGTATATAGTCTTATGTATTTGTCTTCGTATGACATTATTATCTAATGTTTTTTGCCTTTATATTTTTCTGCAGTTTACAAAGTTTCTTTAATAAGCACAATTTAATTTTATAAAAATAATGTATTCAATATTTTAAAATAGTTTCAAGTATTTATATCTAAAGGGAGAGCTAAATTGTTTTAATTGACTTACTTTCAAAGAACACCTTAAGAATAAAAAAATTTCATCTTATCCAATTCAAATTTGACGAATGTATTGAAATCTATGGTATGCCCAACACTGAACTACAGACCACATTTTCTAAAGGTCAACATTCTCACCCTCTGTCCAACCATAGAAATAAACTGGTGCATAAGAGAGAATACTAATGATCTGGTACTACTTTCTGAATGGCTTTTCAGGCATGCACTATAAAAATTACCATGAAAATTAATTCCAGGAAGTTCAATAGCTTTCCTATTATTGCCTTTAAGCTGAATTTTCTTTAGAGCATCATGATCAAACTAGTAGTCCCAGAAAGAATCTTCAAAGAATTACTTAGATTCACTGAGAGTTGAAATCTGAAGAACGGTTGCATGGAAATTTGGCCACAGATGCAAGGGTCAACATCTGCCTTGAATATAGGAATTAATGAATAACATGGAAAGACTTAAATAAATACATATACAAATTTTTGCACTTTTGCACATTATACTATCATTTAAATTTCTTTCTATACTAAGATATAACTATGATATAAACTAAGTCATTAAGTATTATGAATAAAATTACAATAATATTATGTATCAAAAGATTCAAGATGTTTACATGTTGGCTGAAAACTTTAGTCTCATCCCAAGTACAATTAATTTTTCTGCAAGTTTTGAGCTATATCAATGCAATTAGTCATCTGATAGAGCTTCTTCCTTAGAAAACTATTTTATTACACACACAGTATACAAAAATACTCAGTATTTGTATAATTCAAATGGAAGAAAAACTTTTCCATTCCATTTTCCATCACAAGTTCTAAGTGCTAGGTACAGTGGTGCATGCCTGTAGTCCCAGCTACTGAGGCTGAGTTGAGAGAATCATGAGTTCAAGTCCAGCCGGGGCAAGATAATGAGACTCCTCACCACCACCCCATCTCAATTTAAGAAAAGGAAAAAAAGTTCTAAGCATGCTTAAAAAATATATATATATATGTATGTGTGTGTGTGTATATATATATGTGTGTGTATATATATATATACACATATATATATATACACACACCAATTCATCCATTTTATTATTTATAACTAAATATGGTATAGGTGTTTGTATTTTTCTTTTGGCAATGACAGATAAGCCTGATAGCATCTGTTTATCCCTCATTTAACTTATCCAGGGGCCAAGTATGGGGGGTACTTGGCATAAGGACATTAATCAGCTCTGCTGAGATCCATCTGCGTCAGAGCTTCATGCGTAAAGTAAAAAATACAGCAGACTTAAAACCTGAGCTCATCAAAAAAGAAATGAAGATTCTATGCTGGAAATGACCAAAGAAACAACAAAGGGAGAAAGTTCATGTAGCACCCAGATCATTTCTGGGTGCTACCAAACTCAATCTCTGTAGGCTGATGCCTTGTTCCCTCACTGCTCTCCACTTGGTCCCTCTCTATGTTACAAAGCATGTACATGGAAACCCAGCAAACTTAACTCTATCCTCAGCTCTGTTCTAGTCAGCTTGGTAAACATGGGCAGTTAGTTCTTAAACCTGGCCTCATTTCTATTATCTGAAATGTTAATGGGGTACATTAATTGATCATTAAGATCCTATTCCTCTTCAAAATTTCTATTATTCAATTTCCAGGTCTGAGACCCCCCAGAAACCTAGTGGATATATCCATGAGAAAACTAAATTTTCCTTGCAGGAAACTAGGGTATGGTATCCAGTTGCAGCCTGAAAATTCTTTAAGTGACCTTGTAGCGACCAGGTACAGCCAAATTCCTGCTACATGTTGCTTATATATATTCAAGAAAAAGTAAAGAGGAGAAAAGCCCCAGTTGAATAATACAAAGTCTAATAAATGTCTTCATCTTATTTTAAAGAAAATCAAACCTGCGAATTTGTGTCAAGAGGTTCCATCGGACAACTAACATGACAACTAAATATCCTGCAATGTCGTGTCTTTCTTCTAATTCAAACACAACAAGGTCTTAGGCCCTGTATTCCACAATGCTTTTGCCCTCAGAAACTGGGGACCTGTAGGCTGGATCTAACTAGCATCAACAGAACTTTTTGGTGGAATTGAATCCAAGGACCATTTGTGCAATTCAAGTCACCCTTCACAGGATCTCACTCTCTTACCATCTGCCCCAGATACACTGGAAGACAGCATTTTATGGCCATGCCTCCAAAGGTCCTGGGCTCTTACATCTCTTTATCTAGTTCTCCAGTTGCCCAAAAGCACAGTAATCATAGTAATCACTATCACAACTCAGTCAGACCACCAATGCAGATGGCACTAATAGTGGCACTCACATCCCGGGGGGTGAAGGGAGAAAGTGGGACATAAAGGGTGGATATTCAATCTCTCAGGAAATAAGGCCAGGGGCTCTATGCCCATGGGAAAGCCTAAAAGTAGAAGAAAATAAAGGAAGTGCCTAAGCAACAGTGGGGAGGTGGTCCCATTATGGGTAATCAGGTCCAATAAAGAACAGAGTAGAAGTTCATAGTGTTCTTCTTTTACTATCTGACTTCCTCCCAACTCAGGTTCAAAGTTGGACATTTGGGGAGTCTCTTGAACATTAAGGTTACAGAGGCAAGATAACTCTTAGCATGTTAGACAGATAACTTTTCTAAATGTCACTACATAGTCTTCTTAGAAAGCACAGAATAAATTACTGCTACCTTGTAAAAAATAATGTGTACATCCTGCTATGGAAAGATAGCCAACTAGGTCCCATATGTTAGCATGGGAGTATCTGCAACTGCATTACAGTCTGTGGCATAGAAATGGATTTGAATTGGGACATCTATCTGTGCCAACTGCCTGGCAACTTCACACCACCCCACAGTTAGCCACTGAGGAACCTCTCTACTGGATGAGCACAATAGCATGGCTCCGAAGCTGAGTGTTCAGTCTCAGGCACCACCTGAGTTTTGCTCATTGCATTCCTTTTTCCCCTTATCTACAGCAATCACAGTTCATTATTGTAAGTACTTGACAATTTATTCAGATGCTAACAACGGTATTGAGAAACTGCCTACAGGTGAGCATTTGAAATTCTGTGCTTCTGACAGATTATAAATATCCTTCTCCCCTCTGGGACCCCAGACTGACAATGAAAGTATGTGAGAGGTGGAGGGAGTTGATCTGTGTCCCAATCCCATATGTATAACGAATATAACCAAAGTATTTATTTATATGAAAGCAAAAGACATTTAGCAACAGTTAATATATTGCATTTCATCTTGTCTTTTCTCCTAAAAGCATATTTTTAAAATTCTAACTAAAATCATTGAGGGAAAATGGAATTCACTTTACTAAGTGAATTTATTTTAGAGACTTTTTTTTCAAATGGAAAGTATAATTTATTTTAACTTTATTTTACTTAATGTGTGTGACTAATCATGATTTCATAAATTAGCTTATAAAACCCCATACTTTCAAATCTATAAAGCAAAAAGTTACTACCTTTGAGTAATAAGATATTTAAAACAAGCATTTAAAATTACACAAACCACCTCCACCCACAATTTGCTTACAAGCAAATTGACAACCTGTCTGTATGAATAACAACTACATAGCTAAGACAAATCTAGAGTTTGCTATATTCTACAGCAAATATATTATAGGAACAAAACATCTTCTTATGCTTATAAAATAGTATAACTAAAGAAAATTCATTTATTAACTATTTTCTGCACAGTGCTCTCTGTTCCAGTCCCATGAATGCCATGGGACACTACTCGGCTATTTCTCTGTATCTATGTTTCATGTTAGTGTGTTTTGGCTATATATAATTTTCTACTTTCACAGTAGTCCTCCCCTCCCTTATCTCACCTTTCTCTTTCCTCTACCCAACAACTTTACCTAACAAAGTATTTCTAAGTTCTAATACACAGCAGGTGAATTATCCAAGTGAGTAATCTGTCTTACAAAGGAATTTACTACTTACCATTGGCATCCCATTTAAAATCCACAGATCACTTACCAGTGCCATCATCCACATTCTCCACTTCCATCACCTCCGTGTTGATCCGGCCACGAAAAAGGTATCGATGTCCATCTGTAGATGCCTTGCTGTTCTTCAATCGTCTTAAGATGGAATTAAATCAGAAAGACTTTGTTACTAAACAATGTAAAACAATGTCAAAACAATATATTTTAAGCAATTCTTTGAAAAAAGACACTAGTTCAATTGACAATATCAAACATTAGACTCCTGGAGATCTTTACATTTGTCCTCCCTCTCATAACAGCACTGGTTGCTTTAATGAAGTATGCAACTTGCATCTTAATTTTTAAAAATAAATTCAAGTTTTAAGCTAAGGATAGTATACAGGTGGGAGAGTGAGTATGTGTTTTGCTCAATATAAGACATCAGCAGTGCCCAGTCAGACTCTGACAGACACTAACAACTGGTCATTTTAAAATTTCATTTGAGTTTCTTTCACCTTCATGACTCATTTTTCAGTAACTAGCGGGTAATTTCCAGTTAGTACTTATGATCCGTCTTCAAAGAATTGGCTGTGCTGGAGGTTCTTAAGCTCAGTGATATCCAGCTATAAAAATATTTCTCCTATCATAGTGTTACAATATAATCACTGTATACTTGTTGAACAAGTCTCTTAATACCTTTGCAATCCTTCAAAAAGGCCTTATTTATTTCTAAAACACCCAAAACATTTCAAAACTATGTATATATTACATCTAGTGCCAGCTTTTAATCTTAAAAAGTATATAACACAAAGTCAAAAACCCAGTTTACAGACAACCATTTCTAACAATGAATTAGGAAGTTATATATGTTTGTATTTGAATCATTAAGCACACAGGAAAAAATATTTTTTCAATGTTTTTCTTTCATTAAAAACAGGAAAAATTCTAAGAAATGATTCAAGGAGATTAAAAAATACCTAGTCACTCAAGAGATTTCCATTGACCTAGACTATTCAATTGGACTCAGTGACAAAATCTGGTTAATAATTTAATATAGTCAAATAATTATTAATGTGTTGTGTTCTGTAGACACACGTAGCACAAGTTAAGATGTAGGTGTACACAAACTGCAATGCCCCCTCTTCCTCTCCCGTGCAGTTAGATACCTATCCCGGTGTGGACAGGGTGGGCACAGGGACGTGTCTCCAGATGCTATCACACTCTCCGGGCTCTTTCCTTGGAAAAAATTGCATATTCCTGACTTAGCTGTCTTCAAGCCTCATCAAAACTTAGTAGTCCGTCATCTCTACTAAAGAAAACTAAGCAAATCGATTAATTAGCCTGACTGGACAGTTTGTCAGCCCCAGACCTTCATCACCTTGCACTCCTCACGTTCATTTTGAAAACAACCTCTAAATGTTCTTCATTAATAGGCATAAATCGATGCTATAAATTAGGAATTCATCCCAGGTAGCTACGAAAATTGGCCTCACAGGAGGTTGACTATAGAGGGGAATGCAGATCAGACTAATACACAGGTAACTAATATGCAGGTATTATTTCCAGCTGGAAAATAATATCATGGTGTTTTGAAAAACAGAATTTCTTGTAAGTTGGTAAACTAACTTAAAACCAATCATGCTGAAAAGACTTAATATCCTTAACAGTTTTAGTCACAGGCAAAATAATCATGGATTATATATAAGAATCCATCACTTAGTTCTATTTTCAACATATCAATTTTTTATGATCTTACTGTGAACTCTGTATGGGCTTTGTATATTTCTCTTGGGCTGCAGATATTAAGACTCAGTATAAAATTCCAGTAAGTGTTTGATCAATTCTATAATTCTTAGCTCAAACAGATTTTGATTTCTTCAGAAAATGGCCCTATTGAAGTTTAAAGACTGAAAAGCCTATAGTTTGAAAATAATTATGCTGCATATTATAATATTGCAAATTTAAATGTCTTGATTCTATTATTTAATTCCTAATTATGTGTTGTAGTGGTCATCAGGACACATATACAAGAATGTATACAATAGCAGAAAAACTGGGGACAACCCTAAAGCCCATTGATAAGAGGATGAATAATTAAATTGTGATACATTTAACTAATAAAATATTATGCAGCAGGTAACATGAAGAAATTTTTGCTACACACAAAATGGATATACATTTTTAGAAACTATACTGAATACAAATTATAAATTGCAAAAAACTAAAACCACTATGATGCTATCTTTTAAAACTCACAAACAAGCCAAACTAAGCAATATCATGTTATACATATCAAATAGTATATCATAATTTTTTAAACCTAGTTTCTACTGAGATTAATAATATTAGAAATATCCAGAGCAAAGATGCCTAATCTGGCACTCTGCTATTTAAAGAATGTAATTCTAGAATTAAATTCATCAGGTCCCTACTTCATATAATTACAACATTATGGAAGTTTGTAAAAGGTTCCCTTTACTCATATTTTCTGAACGATCTCTACATCTTAGAAAGTATATGCTGAGGTAAAGTTCATAAGGGAGTGAAGCATTCTAAGTGAAGGGAACAGATGGTTTGTTCAAACAGGTTCTCCAGTCCTGGAAGGGAATGGACATGATGAACTATTTTGTTATTTCCATTTCTAACTACTATGTATTTGGTCCACATAATACATTCATTAAGTGCATTTGCTAAATAGCAGGATTTTAATTTGTTAAACTTTTCCCGTGTTTAATGTACTTAGCAATTCCAGTCATAAGACCACATAATATCATGATTTGTCCACTAATGTTAATTTCGTAAAAGATTTGGGTCTTGATAGCAGGCATAGATAAAGATGGGATCAATTTTAATGAAAAACGATTTCATTCTCAAACGGAGAATTGCACTAAAACACCTTGATTCACATTACAGTTTCTTAATGAGTAACACACAAGTAAAATAACAGCCTCTTCTACATCTTCCAAAAGTCAATTTCTATCAATCTCAACCTCGCTATCAAACACAGAGAACTTAGAAGAACATAATAAAAGATTCATTTTCACATTGGTAAAAAGGAATTTTAAAAAACTCATCAGAATAGAGATGTCAACAATTTAATTATTTTGGGGCTCTAATCCTAGTCTATTCCCTCTCATAAAGATACATGTTGTATTCCTACGTTTTCTCAGCTTATCTAATTGCGTTTTTGAATTAATGTCTCCTACTAGGGAATTCTAATACTAAAACTCACATGGCAGAACTACCATATATCATCATCATAGCTATCAAATGTTTGCTAACTTGCTCTGGGCATCTTGATGACTGATTTAAGAAGACTCATTATCAGAGATGAAGAATAACTCTCCCTTAAGTCTGTCTTACAGATCAGTCGGTTTTGTGTCTCTAATTCTCACTCTACCAGAAAATATTTGACTATAGTTTTCTAAATTCTGAACCTGGAATTAAATAGTCATTTAAAATCCTGTACTTTCAACTACTGCTTTACCTTTAAATTGAATGAACCTATTGGTACCATTTCACTAAAACAAATGTGTCCTATATATGGTTAGGGTGAAGCACGTAAAGGCTCAGGAAACTTTTCAATTAAATGTCACTCTACTGTTTTGCTTAACCAACATGCAAAAAAATTTTCCCAAGAGTTTAAGAAAACATCCCATAAAGAACATTCTCAAGAAAAAAGTGTATTCATGCTTTAAAACAAATAGTATTATATCAATAACTTTAATACACTAATTATTTACATTAATGATGGCTAAGCTCTACAGGGGACTAGTTTGAGTTTCATTCACTCATTCATTGATTCTGTGTTTCTCAGCTGTCTATCACAGGTCTGCTCCAAATTCCAGAGAAATTGCATTGAAGGAGCAATAAGGCCCCTGTTCTCATGGACCTTGCAGTCTAATCTAGTAAAGGTGGCAGGACGTAAACAAACTAATAATGAAGGAAATAGCAAGTGACAAGTACTTTCCCGATATTGATAGTGACTGGGAGGCCACATTAGATGGGATGGTCAAGGAAGACACTTCAGAGGGAGTGATTTTTAAGTGAGATCTGAAAGCCACAAAGAATCTGGCCATGGAAAACTCAAAGGACAGGGCACACTGGGAAAGGAAACAGCCAGTACAAAGGCCCTAATAAGCGAGCACATGTGGCATAATCAAGGAATGGGAGAAAGAGAAGGCTAAAGGAAAGAGTGAGGTATTGTGTTTGGAGAAATGGGACGTGATGATGTGAGAGACAGGCAGGAGCTGGACCAGGCAGAATTTTGTAAACTAGGGTAAGGAGTGTGAATTTGAGTCTAGGTGAGGCCAAGCGTGGTAACTTATGCCTGTAGTCCCAGCACTTTGGGAGGCTGAGATGGGAGGATTGTTGTGGCCAGGAGTTCGAGACCAGCCTGGGAAACACAGTGAGACCTTGTCTCTACTGAAAAACAAAATTAGCTGGGTGTGGTGGTTTGTGCCTATAGTGCCAATTACTTGGGAGCCTGAGGCAGGAAAACTGCTTGAACCCAGAAGTTCAAGGTTGTACAGAGCTATGAACATACCATTGCACTCTATCCTGCCTGGGCAACAGAGCAAGACCCTGTCAAACAAAGCAAACAACAAAAAAAGAACTTTATTCTAGGAAGCCAATGAGGGCTTTGAGCAAGGTGACAACATGATCTGATTTGTTTTATAAAAGGTGTTCTGGTTTCTGTGGAGAGCACAAATTGTGGAGGTGTAAGGAAAGATATGGTGGGTCAGTTAGGAGACAACTGTTGTCACCAAAGGGGGATCCTGGTGGCCTGGAGCATAGTAGTAATGATGATGGAAAGCTGTGGAGAGATGTTTGTATGTTTTCAATGCAGATGCAGGAAAATTTTCTAATGGATTGGATGTGGAATGTTGAGGGAAAAACAGGAACCAAGGCTAACTCATAATTTTTGGAATTGCGAAAACAATAGAGAGGGAAAGCTGGGAGAGGAGTAACTTTAGGAAGGGGAATCCAGAATCCCATTTCTTCCATGTTGTGGTTGAGACTCCTCGTGGCCATCACAACAGGCAGGCTGTAGGAGTTGAGATTGTTGGGCTAAGTATAGAGATTTGAGAGCAACTGACACAGATGTGGGACATGAGTGATGGGAATGGATAAAATCAGCTGGGAAGAGTCTATGAATATGAAGAGGGAAAAGGAGTCAAATGCAGAGCCCCACAGCACTCCAATATCCAGCCAAGAGAGTGGGATATAATAACATTAAAGAGAAGAGAGTGCTTTGGGAAGGTAGGATTGCTCAGCTAAGCAACATGCTGTTACAAAAACAAACAACCTCAAAGAGCAGAAAAGTGACCACTGGAATAAGAAGCGCAGCAGTGCTTCTTACGGTGATTCTGATGGGAGTAGCTCAGTGGAGGAGAGTGAACAAAGACCTTGCTGAATGTTGCTCATGCCAAATAACAAGTGAGAGAGTAGAAAAAGCGACAACATAAAACTCCTGCAAGGAAGTCTGCTATGAAGGGTGACAGTGCGACACAAGATAAAGGACTTTTAAAATTTGAGATAGGAGATCTTCGGCAATGTTTGGAGTCAGAAGAGCTGAAGTGACAATACCAGAGGAAGAGAGCTAGGAGGATGGGGGATGATATTCAGAGTAGAATGCCTGAAATGAAGATTTCAATTTTATGACTGTTGGTATTGACAAGGTAAAAGTATGGCCCTAGGACAGGAGACTCAGGTGTAATGGCAGAAAGGCTCATTGCAAGCGAAGAGACAGTGGGCCTTCAGGTCCAAAATTCTGGATAGATCATCCACGTGAGTTTTGAACACTTCCAAAATGGCAACAGGAGTAGGTTAGAAAGAAAATGATGCAGGAGCTAGAGAAATCACTAAATTCATGTGTGACAGTGAGATATTACGTGTTCTATAAAGGGGAGATGAGGGAAAGGTAGTGGAGAGGAAAGACTCATGGCATGAACTTCACATGTGCTGAGATTATTGAAGGAAGAGGGGGAAATGATTGGGAAACAGGATTAGGAAGCAAGGAAGACACACCAGCCATTCCTCCAGGGCGTGAGATATGTGGGTTAGGAACAAACTGCACTTCTCCTCAAGAGGGCTCTGAGGACCCAGCATCATCAGATGACAGTGACATTTCAGTTAGATTTTACAAGAAGGTGAAGCGAACAATCAGAGAGCAGACTGAACAAATGTGAAGAAAGGCACTGATGGATGATGGGTCTGGGAAGCACAGAGAGAAAGGTAGAAACTGAGCTGGATGACCCCCAGAGGGAAAGGTAGAAACTGTGACCACTTCTGAAGTGTGACCTGCTTAGGATCTTACCTGTGTTTTCTTTTGCAGTACACCAAAAGGTTATCGAAAAGAAAAAACACCCGTTCTTGAATATTTCCAGAAGAAATTTTCAGTAAGACTCCACACATTAGCATTTCAGTGCAGGTGTCAGTGATGTTGGACCCCTAAGTCAGGAGAAATGCAATTAATGTCTGCTTACTTGGTTGACACTTCTGCATATAATTATTTTTCTACTTACAATTATAGTTATTTTTATTTTAAGAAGCAATCTATGCACAGGCTAAAGTGCAAACAAACAGTAGAGAGAGTTATATACTGATTGGAGAGCCCCTAACCCCTTCGTTTCCCCCGATCAGTCTCCTTCTGTGTCTCCTTCCAGGTTGTGTACATACACAAGCATACAGACTACATGTCACCTATGTCATGTTGAAAGGAGATGACTTCAAATTAATTCATAATGTTAACAATTAGAATTTATCTGTCTTTTTTTTCTCTTTTTCCCCAGTATGTGGGAAAAAGGGGCTCCATAGGCACAAAGTACATGAAATTGTCTACATGTTTAGCAGGTCTCAATTTATATATCCACCCCTAGGATGGAGAAAAGAAATAAAAAGAGAAAAAAATATTTAAAGGGAGCAACTTTCCACAGAGCCTTTCACCCTATTTATTAGAAGTTGGCAAAGGCACACTAGCTAACTAAATAAGTGTTTATAGCATGCCCATCAAGATTACACGACTAGTGACAAAAGCAATTCTTAACACAAGCACTGGCCACAAGAAGTGAAGAGGAGCCACAAGATGGAAGGAGCCTGGCCCCCTGAATCATCAACAGAGGAAAGCTGCCCCCTGAGTTGGACATGAGCGTCGGACTGTGGTGGGAGATGCACAGAAATGTCTATTTCGAGCCATTATAAATATTGTAGTCTATTTGTTTCTACAACCTAATCTATCATAACCAATGCACTGAGTTGGACCAAAAAAAAAAGAAAAAGGACATTTTCCATAAAGATTTATATATGTGCTCTGCAAGAGACTTTAAGTTTCAACTATATCAAGATTCTTTAAATCTGGAGTAAATTTCTAATTTTTGTGTAACTCAATGTTTCTATTTTTAATGTTTCCTATTTAAAATTTAGAACATTAGTTTTAAATTTCATATTTCCACAATAATCACTGATAATAGTTTCTCTGGTTAATTATAAAAATTTAAATTAAAATAACAACTAAATCCTACAATGACAAATCAAACTTTCAAAATGGGGAATTAATTAAGAGAGTTTTTAAATATTAATTTGACTATCTTTATATTGCAAATTTTAGACATTTTCCTTTATTATTTCTTTTTTTTTTTTTTTTGAGACAGAGTTTCACTCTTGTTGCCCAGGCTGGACAGCTCACCGCAACCTCCGCCTTCTGGGTTCAAGCAATTCTCCTGCCTCAGCCTCCCAAGTAGCCAGGATTACAGGCATACCACCATGCCCGGTTAATGCTGTATTTTTAGTAGAGACAGGGTTTCTCCATGTTGGTCAGGCGGGTCTCGAACTCCCGACCTCAGGTGATCTGCCTGCCTTGGCCTCCCAAAGTGCTGGGATTACAGGCATAAGCCACCACACCCGGCTGTTTCTTTATTATTTCTTTTCATCCTGAAAGTGGATATACAAGTGAAGATTTGGCAAAAAAAAAAAGTTACAAAATTTCATGTACTTTATCATGTGTTCATTAAGCAAAGTGGTTTTAATTTACAGCAATTTCACAAAGTGTACAGAATAGCTCTCCCTTAGACCATTTCTTATGATGACCCGTATAGGCCAACCCTGGATGATAAGCTGTTACATTATGAAAGGGTTACTGCAGATATCATCTTAATTTTCACATTAAATAAATCTCCCGAGTACCTCAAATTAACATATGCAGATATTAGTAGGTGCATTCTTAACAAAGCATTTCCTGACTTGTTGATAATTATCTTTCTTAATAAATGTAAGGAGTATTTTATATAAAATTGAACTAACTATAATGACATTGTTATCTTACAACTGATTCAAAGTGATGCTACAATCAATCAAACCTCTAGGTCTTTTTCCTCCATCCTGTACGTTAGTTTGACTTTTTGAATCACCCGTCCTATTGATACAAGAAACTCTCAAGCCCCTTGCTAATATACAGACCTATTCTATCTAAGGCATTACTAAAAGTCCCCATCAGTTCCTCATTCCTGATCAAAAAACAGAGTAAGACTGACTGACCTCTTTAAGGTCAACATTTCTTTATATAAGCAACCCAAATCATCAGTTTAGTCAATTACTAATCACATTTTTAGTAAATAAGGACAAGCACAACCATTGATAGCTTCTAGAATTCATGGTTATGCCGCAAAGTGTATCTCACAATATACATATAACTTCGGTCAGATTGTGTTTTACTGAATCTGACTGAGATGTTTCTGTCACTGAGATGATGTACCTTTAACACTTAAAGCAGGCTTCAAGAATTAGTGCAATATCACCTTTCACCATCTTCTACCACAGTAATCTACCATCATGGCATGAAATATCTTCCTTGAGTAATTAAATAATTCCCTGAGAATTGTTAATGTACTAAAGGATTCTATGTCAAAATGTGCAGATTTGTCTTAAAATATCATCCTAACACAGCAGCTCACAGCATTTTCCTTATCCTGCATTTATCTTTGAAACTCTAAAGCATGCCCACTGTGCCTTTGATTTCCCATGACTTAAATTTGTGCATTATCTCTAGGATAATGGCAGGCAAAAATCATTAAGAACTGTTTAACCACAGATATGTATGAACTGACTGCGGAGAGAAACTACAATCTTGGAAAAGATGAAAGATGACAGGAGGCCTTGAAATGTCCCTACTCGTATACAATGCATCAGCAGACAAAGATCTAACAGAGCTAGATCCATTCACAGTGGAAGAAAAGAAAATTGACAAGACTGACAACTAGAATGTGCTTCATAAGAGAACAGTTCTGATATCAAAGGAGTCTCTTAAAAAAATTGATGAAGCATTTGAACATTCTTACAAAGATAAATCTTTAAAAAAATACTGTGAAAACAAACATAAAGAATATTATATTGTCTTATCATAAAATGTTTGACACACCCCAAAAAAGACTCAGCATTTGATTTGCTCTTTTTGAGGTTAAAACTATTAACTAAAATTATAACCTGATTTCTGTGACATATAAAACAAATAATATAAATTTTCATTTTACTAAGATAAAGTCCCATCAAACCTTCCCCCCTTACACTTCATTGAAATTTTGTGCCTCTTTTAAACTGGATTCATTTTCAGTCGTCTTTTTCCAGAACCACTTATCCTCAAATAACAAAGACTATATATAAATCAATTCTATCTCAAGGTAGAAGATGAATTTGTATCTGCCAAATCACCTCGTACAGAGGACAAAAAGAAACAAGTATCAGCACTAAGCTCTGGAAGACTCACATCCATGAAATAACAAGAAACATGACCTGAAGTCAACACACTGTCAGGCACAAACTCAATCAAATGGAAGCAGCAAACAGATTCCAAAACCAACAAGCAGTAATTTTTAAATGGTCCTGTAACACTGTATTTTTCCATGTAAACAGGTAATAAAGAAATGTCCAATTTCTTTCTGTGTCTCTTTACTTTCTAAAACACAATATTTATCTTGAATCTCATTTATCCCAACACCTTCATATATTAATAATTCCTTCTCTTATCTTTTATCATAATACTGTTTTCCAGATTTAAGAGATCAATTCCAAACAGGCATTTCAAGGACTTAAAGCTGAATTACTGACAACGTAATGTTTATTGATACTCCCTTGTCAAAATACTTCAGTATAGCTCCAAAGGCTACAGTTATCATTACAACATAATCAGTCAACCAACACACAGACAGAGAATGGTCCTGTTCTATGAAATGAATCAGTGACTCTGATTAAACAGCTAATAAACTTCCCTTCCAGGGCATATTAATCATCGCCCACAATTACCTTCAGTAGACTATCTTGCAGAATGTTCTGAATGTTGCATAACTTATATGACTGAGATATAATAAATTATACTAACAAAAGGCATAACTTCAAAAATGAACAAATAAAACATACACTATAGATTTTCTGTGGTGGCAGTTACTACATAAACGCTGACAAAAATCTAATTTTGATAATCAATTTACTTTTAAAAGACAAGCAGGAAAACAAACTTAATCCAAAGCATTTGCCAAATTTGTATCTGAGTGGATATAATAGCACATGGTAAGGAATATAAGCTTTAGAGTCAAGCTGCCTATTTTCAGATCTAAATGTTGTCACCTGTTAGTTATAAGAACTCGGGTAAGTTAAATAGTCTTCAGTTTTTAAATCTATTCAATGAAGAGTATAGCATCTCAGCCAGCTGTGGAGATGGTTATAATGCACTGTATGTGATTATAATGCATACAATGGAGAATCAGTTATTTCTCCAAAAAGAAATTGGAGGGCTGGCAGTCAAGTTCCTCTGCCCTTCCCCTAGCAAATTCACCCAAGCAAGATTAGTTGAATCTTGGATTTTGATCTTCAGTCTTGAATGTAGTCATATAAAGATGGAAAAAATTATTACAGCCTATTCATTTTAGCTAGGGCATGGATGAGACTGTCAAAGAGTTTCAGCTGCCTAGACACCCTTCTCAGGTCTGACGCTGTAGCTTTTGTGTTGACTCTGCAAGCTACCCAATCTTTTAAATTAATTTTTCTTTTAGTTTCTGTTGCTTACAACCATATAACCCTAAGTACTATAATACCTTCAGTAGATAGGTGCATATATTAGACAAATGAGGGAAATTTTTTAAAGCTTTAAAATACTACCTCATATTTGCGTAGCATTTTACAGTATTGAAAGCACTTTTACTTATTTCATTTGACTTCTGCAATAATCCACACTCCATATAGGAGAGGAATTATATATCATTCCCAAACAAAGGGTTAGAGTCCAGACTAAAAACCAACTCTGCTCAAAAGCCATGCTTTTCTCACTGTCATATGTTTTGCAAACAATAAATTTCAATTGCTTGTTTACCTAAATTCAACATTCGGGAATGTAAATAATTTAGTAACACAAAATACTAGATAGGAACATTGTGCCTAAGAGATGTTATTGTTTAAAACGAAAGCTTTCATTTGATTAACAGTGAAGTAAGTCCCCAGATAATTAAATGACAGAATAACACACCTATAATAGAAATAATGCAAATTCATGGTATATCAGACTTGGATTCCATCAAATAGAATTTTAGTTACTGAAGGAACAGTGTCCTCCCTAAGGAGGCCCTGAACGTGGTCTGCAGGAGCCTGTGGAAGGAGCCGGAGAAGGAGCTGTTTCCTAGCATGAGCCCAAGACTCCTAACCTCAAAAACTCGTCGGGGAACTCTGCATTCTGTAACTGTCATGCCACCCTACATCTGAACTTCCCTGTGTCCTAACCCTAAGGTAGCCTCTCCACAGATACACAAGGCTTCCACAGGCTGAGCAAGGATCTCCATTAGCAAGTCAAAGACAGCTCTTAACTCATTACAGCTTCCTCCCAGGGCCTGAATTCAGCCTGTGTGACTCTGTGTCCTTACAGAGAGTCCTATGAGACCAGCAATTTCTCCTAAACTCCCCAGAAGGGACTAGGCCTGAAAATCAAGTTGCCCCCCTCGATGGGGTGGTGGACTGGGACAGGCAATGGAGTTCTTATCACAAATTGCCAAACCCACTGACTGGGCCCTGCTCCAAGCTGCACTCCCTCAAAGTCCCAAAACTCCCAATCTCTGTATGGCCGTCTTTCGCAATCATTGTCAAATCCTACTCAAGTAGAATTTATGTTGCCACTTCTTCTTGGAATCACTTTCTTGGAATCCAACTTTCATATTATCTCCCCTGTGCCTCCTGGAACTGACTGTAGAATTTAAAAACAAGGACTATTTAACTTACCCAAGTTCCTATACCTAACAAGTGGCAACCTTCTTCTCTAACTTCTCTGAATACACAACAGAAATCCTTAACTCCATCCAGTTTTCCCTGTCTCAGTGCCCCATTTTCTCTTGCTCTCAGAATGTCATAAAACCACGAAAGCTGGTGAAGTCGGTTGTAGGCTACATATGATATAGTTCCACCTACATTCATTCTTCCTTTGAGTAACTGGTGTATACTGTGTAAACAGTATCAATAACTTTTAAGGAATCTCTCATTTCTGCAGTACACTCAGTTTTTAGCATATACAACAGGATGAAACAAAATTATGACAGATTCCATTTCCTTAGAGTGCCGAAAAAAGTCTCTGAAGTTTTTGTTTTAGTAAAAGGCCTGGCACATTTCATTGACAAATTCTGCAATTTAAAGCAAGTTCCACTTTTCTTCCAGTGTTTGAGTGACAACAGGACTCCAAAAGCAAACTGGAGTCCATTTTTCTCATCACAGCAGGACAACAGCTCCCCAGGAAAGAAATAATCATCATGAATTAACTGTAAAACACACAACCATTTTAGCCGCCTGAAAGAGGCAGCATTCATGCTGAATGTGAGGGCACTCTGGACACTTGAAATGGAAAGAGTTAGACAAAGAAGCAGCTAGGTCAACCCCAGTTAGCATTTTAAAAGATTCATAGGAGAGAAGGGACAAACAGGAGAATTCCTTAAGGTCAATGTTTGAGGTTTCTTCGCATATCTGGGTGGATATAATTTTAGGTCCAAATGAAAACTAACGTGTCAAAGGTAAGAAACAAATTCATCTAAAGCCTTAAAGATAAAGCAATCCATTAGTTTTATGTGATAACAGTATTTGGCTAGGAGCATTTTCAATCTTTCCTACACTTAAAAGTTATCTTCATTGCTTACTTTATAACAAGAAAAAATTTGACCTAGTCCAAAGCTTATACTCATTTAAATTAAGGCAACGTAATGACAGAATTTGAGTTCATTCTTTGCATAGTAGTAAAGTAACATAGGACCCCAACCCCATGAAATAACTGGGAATCAAAGTTACCATTAGCTGAAAACATTTTACAGATTTTGAACTATACTCTTCTTTTTGGCATAAAAAAATTTTCTTAATGACTCAGGAAGTCATAACATTTTTCATCTTGAATAAACCTTAAAAATAAGGTCATAGCCAATTCCTTCAGTTTATAAATTAAGAAATCAAAACAAAGAGGTTAAGTGAACACGTAATTTAGAGACTGAAAGTAATACCACAGCACACCTACTGAACTTTCCGTCCCTTCTTCACTCTCCCAGGATTCATGCTATGTACTTATGGCCAAAGTTAAGAGAGGAACAGAATCATCACGATGCATAAATGCTAAAATATTAAAGCTTATAGCCCACATAGTATCTATTGGCTCCATCACAAACTTCTTCGGTCAAGGTTAAGTCAATTAACCACCACCTTAAAGATACTTTAAAATAATGATGAAAGTGAGCACTTTTCAGAATTGACTGTAGTCCTCAAGAAATATCTAAGAAAATGACCATTTATGGTTCCATCCAATGCCAGTAATTCTGCACAAGGCCTGCAACATTAAACTATCTTAAGCTCGATTGTCGAGCAAAGTGAATGTACCTCCCAGCCTTCAATGTGAGACTGCCATTCCTCTAAAACTTCTAACTTCTCCATCTGTCTCTTGGCCTCATTTATGTTGGAACAGACAGCTTTCATGGCTTGGAGGGCTTCCATCACTGCTGCATAGTCACTGTGTTTCCGTGGAGTCCGCTTCAGCAGCTCCTGTTTATACACAAAAAAACAAATTGCCCTTTGATCTTCAGCTTTCTGGTACAGCAGGTTCAGCCTGACCAGGAAATGAAAATTGCAAAGATCGTGAGAGCCACTTCCATAAGTGACATCACAAATTCCTCTAAGATTAAGATCAAAAACAAAAGTTTGAATCAATGAGTAAGTGTAACCCAAATGCACATTTTTGCAGTCACTTTAATTTTTCTTCAAACTTACTTTGTTTTTAAAAATTAAGTTAGGTTTCCCCTTTTGAATGGTCAAATATCTTACCAGGAACATAAATTTTTGTTTTTAATAATTTGACTTTTGTTCTAACAGAAGCACATCTTTATATGTTAATTTCATTTTTATAGAGTCTTTAACAGAATAACAAATCTTTAAGTATGACACAATTTCAAAAATAATTTAAACATCTTATTTTCTAATATTTTTGAGAAACTATAAAAATATGTCATAAAGTTAAGTTTTAAAATAATGTCTTCTACTACAACAAGATAATTTATAAATTCTACAATATTCCATCATTAAAGGAGCAATTTATGCTGTTTTTCCCAATTACTCAGGCTTATTCTATGTGATGAATGAACTACCATGTACCCCTCAATAGTTTCCTTTTTTGTTTTTGGTATTTAGGGGATTGGGAGGGTCTTTTTATTTCTATTTTTCCCACTCATCAAAACTAGAATAATCTTTAATCTCTTAAACATATTGAAAGCCGTTGTTAGTTGTTTAAAAGCACAAAATTAAACATCTTCACCCACTGTCTAGACAGTTGGGACCACATTGCTTTTTAATTAGTCATGTGTTTCCTTACTACAGTTGCCATCATCACGTAACTAACACAATTACAGAAATCCTAAGGCAAGTCTTGAAAAGAATTTTCTAAATTCTCAACAAACAGTGTGAAAATATGCAGTTGTTATATTCTTTTGAGTTCTGTTATTGTTGAAAACTCTGCCATAAACTTGGACCCTAAATTCATTATATTCACATCTTGTTCTGTAGAGCTAACACCAGAGGAATACATATTATATCACTCCCAAGACAAGGTTTAAAAGTTGTGCTGGATCACAAATCCCTAAATGAGACATGCAGGCTTCTTCAAAAACTCTAAAGAGTAGAGGCACCTGTAAATTACGTCAAGTGGTCAAGTCAGTCTACAGGCCATAATTTGGGGTCCAATCATCGAAGGAGTTGAATATGAATTTGCATAATGTGAAATAGTGAGAGGAAACCATCACTCACAATCTGTTAGCCATTACTTGCTAAGAACCCAATGTTGATTGACCAACTCAATAATTTCAAGCTCCACAAATAACATCAATGTCTCTTTTCCTAACACTACAGCCTAATCCATAGAATATTTTTTTCCAAGTAAATGAAACACCCTAAAGCAAAGAAAATCCCAGCAGAATTTTTCAGCTGATGGTACAATAGAGACAAATATCAACGCCAACGTATCTATTACATGAGTTAACAGTTTTTCATGTTTCTTTGTGGAGATAATCTACCAGAAAAGGAAAGGAGGTCAACCTTCCACTGCTTGAAGGGGCTCTGAACCAACCTTCTGGCTAAGAAAGGATGCATCCATGATGCTTTCTTCTGAGAGGTCAGTTCAAATACCTGAGTTCATCCCTAATCAGAAATGAGTAATTTAGAATAACCACTTTGTCAGGATGTAACCTTTTAATCTCCCTATCCCTTCTTAAACAAATCCCTTGGGATTCCAAAATCAGGGTAAGGAATAACTGCAGTTATGAGTACACAGGCAAACTGAGTCAAGTCAGAGGTCTGTAGGGATTCTCAGAAAAAAAGGAGACACATTTGCAACAATACTCCCTCTGCAGAGCTGGGGACTCCTGTGTCAGCCTCTCTGAGGCTTTTTATGGCTTAAGCAAGCAACGCTAGACTTCTATTTCTTTAATAAGGAACAAACATTTTCAAATAAAATTTACACAGATACCTAATTTATGGAATTGACAAGATTTGTATTAAACTACATTTTTAGTTCAAATTCAACATTTATTTCTTAAAAAGCAAATCAATAAAAACACCAGTTAATATGTCTCTAGCATTTCTGAGTATTTTTTGAAGTTTAGATGCCAAGTAGTAATTTATATTAAAATAAATTTAATATAAATTTTTGAAAAATAAGTAGTAATTTATATTAAAATAAATCAGAATCAAATAGATATGAATAAAATGGCTAATACTTATAACGTACATACTATGTTAATTGATTTTATAAAATAGTTAAATTAATCATTATTATTATATAATCCTATACATATGCATATATATGTATTCAGAATACACATGCATACATACGTACACACATTCCTACAGGTCTATGCTATAATTTCATCATCATCATTATCATCATCATCATCATC